TTTCTGGGTTTTTAAAGGACAAGTGTTTCTGACTGTAGAAGTAATACATGTATATTAAAGCAAAAGTGAAATATAAAGAGGAGTATAAAGGACAAAGTAAAGTAATCTATTAATTGACGTAGAGATGAGTGTAATAATATTTTGGTGAGTTTTCTTTATATCTTTTTTTGTTTTAACAGCAGAGTTAACTTTCTTCCTATATCCTTTTTAATGTATATGCTTTGTTATATCTATGTATTCATCATAGTTTCCATTTATTGAGTGCACATTCAATGCTAGTATATGTGTGCATTTTGTTGGTGTTTTGTATCCTCTTGTTTTAAAATACTGTGTTTTCTCATGAATATTCTTTGAATATATGATTTTTAATAGTTTTATAATCTATCATATGATATTCCATTAATATTTATTTACATGTTTTTCTTTTTTACTATTATAGTAATAATATGATCTTTTTACATAGATCCCTGGGTAATCTCTGATTATATTTTTCACTTTTTTCTGTGATTACAGAATTTTTATTTTTATTTTTTAAGAGACAGCATCTGACTATGTTGTCCAATCTGGAGTGCAGTGGTTCAGTTATAGCTCACTGTAGGCTCAAACTCCTGGGCTCAAATGATTCTCTTGCTTAAGCTTCCCAAGTAGATGGGACTACAGGTGGGTGGCACCCTAATTTTTGTATTTTTCTTTGGCAGTTTTTGGCCAGGGCTGGGTTTGGACCCACCATCTCCAGCATATGGGGCCTACTCCTTTGAGCCACAGGCGCCGCCCCAATTTTTGTATTTTTTGTAGTTACAGGGTCTCACTATGTTGTTTAGACTGGCCTCAAGCAGTCCTCCCACTTCAGCCTCAGTGAGGCTAAGGATGTCAGGCGTGAACCACTTTGCTAAAGCAAAAGTTTACCATAGCTTGATTCTTCAGAGATGATTAAAATTAAGTTTGATGTATATTCTTAATAGATTTAAGTTAATTTTCTCAAAAAATAAGGCATATGTAGATAGTAGAAGAAGTTGGGGAAAATCATTCATAATTTATTGTATCTCCACAGTGATGATTATTTTTTCTTCTTGATCTTCATACATTTTTTTTTTTT